ACGGTTTTATAGGAAATACCCATAAGTATAAATAACCAAAAGAAAAACAAAAGCCCAAACGTGAATTGGTTTCAAAGACGCTAACTTCTGGGAAAGCCAAATTTCCTAGTATGCTGTAACCAGCTATGAACAGGGCTGGAACATATCACATGTAGGGTGGGATTCACAGTAATGCTAATGACAACATGATACTATGTTTGGGTCCTAAATAGTTAACAGACCCAGGCACCCAGTTTGACCTAATAATTTAAATTGTTTAAATGGAAGTGATGTTTGCTTCAATGTTATTGACCACAAAGGTCACTGAAGATAATAATTAGAAACATTGACGATAGCAACATTACCTTTTGGCGGTTTCTAGGATTATTGTGTTGAGCGTGTCCTTTAATGAAGGCGTTTGTTGACCAATGAATGTCAGCTCTGCGGCAATCTTGAACGGCTCTTGGCTAGAAAAGAATAATAGAACCACAAGAAATGGCAGTGTTGTTTGCATTTCATTATCTCACAGATGCCGAGACACACAGACAGACTGACTGACAGACGAAAAGAAAGGTAGCTAAGGGAAGACATAGAAAAGTAGATTTAAAAAAAAGAAATACATGTGATATATATTTTTAACACACCCTTACACTCCTCTCGTTTCTTATATCTGGGATTGATGCCCGATGTTTAGACACAAGATGACTCAAACGGATATTTTCTCGGATGGAAATAAAACGAGAGTAATTCACAGAAATGCTGTGCAACCGAATAAGTCAATTATTTTGGGGAACTTTATATGTGACACGCAACTTAGAGCTGTAATGATTGGACGATTATCTTCAATAAGGTTTTAAATGAAAACCTTAACATTGTGATAGATAAGACAAAAACTAAACATATTGTAGCATGTCAATATTGGTTTTAAGAATGTCAAGAGTGTTAAGCGTTAAGCACTTGATATCACGGTGCCGATTAGCGCGGTGATGTCGTAATGGCAGTTTAAAGATGGCGGTCCCACGTTTTGCATGCACCAGAGAGCAGAAAAGCTCAGTTGTCTGCGTTTTGATCAGTGAAGCGGATGATGGCTAGTTGCGTATCCTTTACATGACGTTGCAGAACCAAACCTAGCAGCCTCTGGCTGTTGTGTGGTTTCTCTAGGCAAATTTACCTCCAGTAGTTTGCCATTGCCTATTGGACGGTCGGCCCCCTGATACCAGTGTCGAAATCAACACAAGGCGCATGGCCCGCAGCTGGGATCGAACCCTGCACCCCGGCATTACGAAGCGTTCGCATCGACTTAGCCACAGAGCCGACATAAAGAGGGTGAAACATAAAGAAAGTAAGAGGTGAATCAAGAACTAGTTTCCCAGAAGACCATCCTTGCTCTGTAAAGTTGTCCCCTTCTGGGACTGCTGCTACATCAAAGCCGCTAACTCAGGAAAACATTCTTCGGATGCGAATTCAACAGGAATCCAACAAACACAAACTAGTAACTGCACACACTTCTCTATATCTAAACACACAACTTAAACTAGGATTATGACAATATTAATATAGCAGCGTTTGTTTCTTACACCCCTCCCCACCCCTCCCTTTAAAATAAATCTTCCCAACCCCTATACTATATTCTAAACACACACACACACACATACACACGCAGGTACACACACGCTCACACACACGCTTACACACACACACATGCTCTCACACACACACACACAAACACGCAGGCACACACGCTCACACACACACACGCAGGCACACACACACACACACACACACACACGCTCACACACACACACTCACACACACACGCAGGCACGCATACGTTCTCACACACACTTTCACACACACACACACACACACGCTCACACGCACACACACCTAATTTTAATTGCAGCAAGTTTTTTAAAGCTGTATTTATGTAATCTTTATTTGTCTAGTATTCGCATCCATACAGATGAACAAACAGTCCTAATGTTTGAGAAGCGTCGTTTGTGCATCTGATATTCTTTTTTTTTATATTAAGTGCCTGTAGAAACAATTTATCTGTTATTTCCCTTTCAAAATGTGCGCTTTGTTTAAATCAGATGTTCAGTTTGTATAGGTGCCGCGATAACACAGTATTTAGATGCTTTCTTTTTCTGCCGACTTGAACATTTCAATTTCGAATCCGTATTGTGACTTTCAGGTCGACCCAGCGTAAACTGGTAGCAAGAAATGTCCCGGAAGTAAAGGCGGTCAGAATGATGTTGGCCACATCCGTTATCGAGAGCTAATGTGTGGTATAGGTTGCCTGATGCGCCACTATCGTGAAGGAAAAAAGGCCTTGTAATCTCACCTTTTACTCTACAGATTCTGAGGCACTTTCAAAGACGAGCATAATTCATGATACCGAAAAGCTTTTTTTAATTGGGGGGGGGGGGGGGGGAGGCGAGGGGGGGGGGGAGAGAAAAAGGGAAGGGTGTAAGTGTTCTTTTTTCTTTACTGGAATGCCTCGCCGTGTCAGGGGAAGAATCTATGGAACGGGCCCTTCTGTTCCCTTTGTTCATTGTGTTTTCAGTGTCTCTGATGTCTCTGCGGTCCATTTTCTGCATGGTCGACCACTGGCTCTGTTACCGCTGTATCTTTATTTCGCTGATCTCTTTGGTGCCCTCCTTGGCGCCAGTCTTGTGAAATGGCTAAACTACTAGATATGTTGTCTACCGATAAAGTTCATTGTTTTTTTCTGTACAGTCTCTCCTCTTGATAGCATTGCTTTTTGTGTGAGTGTACCTAACAAAAGAAAGGTAAATTAAAGATAAGTGAAAACCAAGAGCATGGATTTCATATCCCATATGGCTTTGTGTCTCTCCGCATGTTGGCTACCTGCTTGCAGAGACAAGAGCTTTGACCACTTCGCCAACGAGAACCCTTTAACAGATTGAACACTAATTTAATATCAAATGAATAATATTATACCATATCATTAGTTTCTTCTTCTTTACGTTCACCGGCTGTAAACTCTGAGGTAAAGTTATGGTTGTTCATCCGCCTCAAGACATTGATCTTCTTCTTCTTCTTCGCGTTCTACGGCTGTAAACTCCGACGGACAGTTTTGGTTGTTTGTTTACCTCTGAACTTTAGTCTTGTTCCAGAACCTGAGTGTTGCGTGCACATCTGTTTTACAGATCTGACTTATTTGTATGCAGAGTATTGGCAAGACGCCAGCTGCTTTAGACAGAAAGAAAAAAAAATATCTGAAATATACTGACCTAAATTTCACATTGTCACATTTCACGTAGTCTGGATTCCAAGCGCTGACCCATTTCGACACCTGAAGATGAATTCAATCAAATCTAAAGACTACATTTATTTTAGCAACCTGGTGTAACACACGTAGCTTTGTTAAGTAATATTTACATGAGATTGCATAATTAACTCTGCATTTATGGCTACGATTTCACCGGGGAATTTACGTTCAGTAGTTTTTCATTGCTCACTTAAAACAACACCTTAGGACAAATAGAGGAATAAGTATTTGGGATCAATTTAAATATCCGAGAGAAAACTGGACATAAACGTGCCAAAGGTAATCAAGTAATGGGGCAACTATCTCCCCTGTTGACACACCAGCAGATACGCCGGAGCACAAAAGTGAATCTTTTCAGAACTATTTTTTACCACTACCTCTATTACTGGTGCTAATGCTGTTTCTGTGGCTGCTGGTACTGGTACTGGTGTTGAGAAAAAAAAACGAAAAACTTCTTGCCTCTTTCAACCGGCTCCTAGATTGAGCGTTGGTTATATCGTGGCTTTGTTTGTGTGCTTGGAGTTTGTTCTCCAATAAAATATTTGCCTCCTTATTTGCGGCGTTTCCATACGCCTTAGTTTTTGCTCGGTGTTTGAGCTGTTATTTGTCACGTCCGTCGTCGCCTTGTTGCTTCTACTTTTAATGCAACTGTTGCTGCTACTTCTATTGATGCTACTTAAATAAATACTTCTATCTCTGGATTTATCAGAATTTTGCCCGTCATAAACAAGAGGTCATTACATCCATACATTGTGCTTCCATATATTGTACATCCGTATTTTGGACACTCACATTTTTACGGGCACACAACTACGCCGTGTTGTAGCGGCTAGACGCTAGGATCGGAAGCTCGTAGGTTCGGTTCCTGACGGAGCCAAACATTTTTTTTCAGACATGACTTTGACTCCCAGGTCGACCCAGCCGTGAGTGGGTATGAGGTACAAGCAGTGGGAAATAAAGGCAGCGGGAATGTTGCTGACCAAATCATCCACCAAGTGCTAATTAGTCTATACCATAAAGGTCTAGCCCTATGTGCCCAATACGCATGAAGGAGTGGAAAATATCCTTTACTCTACTACGTACTTACATCAGCACAGAAAGGTTCGGCCAGCAGTCGGAATCTTTCACTGTTGGAATTATTTAGCTCTGCGGTCCAATCAGGGTCAAACACATCCAGGGAAATGGTCATCACCGTATACAATACTGGGGACAGAAACAATAAGTGCAAATCAATCTCATTCGAATAATTCAGCACGTGCAAAAGAAACAGCACATCTAGCTTCAGATGATTCTTTCAGCTATTCCCTACCACCCCCCCCCCCCCCCCCCCCCCCCAGCCCACCCAATGTTTCTCGTAACAGAAGGAAAATATCGAGACAGATGTGTATAAGAGAAGGATGTGTATAAGAGAAGGATGTGTATAAGAGAAGGATGTGTATAAGAGAAGGATGTGTATAAGAGAAGGATGTGTAAAGGGGAAGGATGCGTATAAGAGAAGGATGTGTATAAGAGAAGGATGTGTATAAGAGAAGAATGTGTATAAGAGAAGGATGTGTATAAGAGAAGAATGTGTATAAGAGAAGGATGTGTATAAGAGAAGGATGTGTATAAGAGAAGGATGTGTATAAGAGAAGGATGTGTAAAGGAGAAGGATGTGTATAAGAGAAGGATGCGTATAAGAGAAGGATGCGTATAAGAGAAGGATGTGTATAAGAGAAGGATGTGTATAAGAGAAGGATGAGTATAAGAGAAGGATGTGTATAAGAGAAGGATGCGTATAAGAGAAGGATGTGTATAAGAACAAGATCTGTATAAGAGCAAAATATGTATAAGAATTGGATTTGTATAAGAGAAGGATGTGTATAAGAGAAGGATGTGTATAAGAGAAGGATGTGTATAAGAGAAGGATTTGTATAAGAGAAGGATGTGTATAATAGAAGGATGTGTAAAAGAGAAGGATGTGTATAAGAGAAGGATGTGTATAAGAGAAGGATTTGTATAAGAGAAGGATGTGTATAATAGAAGGATGTGTATAAGAGAAGGATTTGTATAAGAGAAGGATGTGTATAATAGAAGGATGTGTATAAGAAAAGGATGTGTATAATAGAAGGATGTGTATAAGAGAAGGATGTGTATAATAGAAGGATGTGTATAAGAGAAGGATGTGTATAATAGAAGGATGTGTATAAGAGAAGGATGTGTATAAGAGAAGGATGTGTATAATAGAAGGATGTGTATAATAGAAGGATGTGTATAAGAGAAGGATGTGTATAAGAGAAGGATGTGTATACGAGAAGGATGTGTATAAGAGAAGGATGTGTATAAGAGAAGGATGTGTATAAGAGAAGGATGTGTATAAGAGAAGGATGTGTATAAGAGAAGGATTTGTATAAGAGAAGGATGTGTATAATAGAAGGATGTGTATAAGAGAAGGATGTGTATAATAGAAGGATGTGTATAAGAGAAGGATGTGTATAAGAGAAGGATGTGGATAAGAGAAGGATGTGTATAAGAGAAGGATGTGTATAAGAGAAGGATGTGTATAATAGAAGGATGTGTATAGGAGAAGGATGTGTATAAGAGAAGGATGTGTATAATAGAAGGATGTGTATAAGAGAAGGATGTGTATAATAGAAGGATGTGTATAAGAGAAGGATTTGTATAAGAGAAGGATTTGTATAAGAGAAGGATTTGTATAAGAGAAGGATTTGTATAAGAGAAGGATTTGTATAAGAGAAGGATGTGTATAAGAGAAGGATGTGTATAAAAGAAGGATGTGTATAAGAGAAGGATTTGTATAAGAGAAGGATGTGAATAATAGAAGTATGTGTATAAGAGAAGGATTTGTATAAGAGAATGGTTTGTATAAGAGAAGGATGTGTATAAGAGAAGGATTTGTATAAGAGAAGGATGTGTATAAGAGAAGGATGTGTATAAGAGAAGGATTTGTATAAGAGAAGGATGTGTATAAGAGAAGGATGTGTATAAGAGAAGGATGTGTATAAGAGAAGGATTTGTATAAGAGAAGGATGTGTATAAGAGAAGGATGTGTATAAGAGAAGGATTTGTATAAGAGAATGATCTGTATAAGAGAAGGATGTGAATAAGAGAAGGATTTGTATAAGAGAAGGATTTGTATAAGAGAAGGATGTGTATAAGAGAAGGATTTGTATAAGAGAAGGATGTGTATAAGAGAAGGATTTGTATAAGAGAAGGATTTGTATAAAGGAAGGATTTGTATAAGAGAAGGGTGTGTATAAGAGAAGGATGTGTATAAGAGAAGGATGTGTATAAGAGAAGGATGTGTATAAGAGAAGGATGTGTATAAGAGAAGGATGTGTATAAGAGAAGGATGTGTATAAGAAAAAAATCTGTATAAGAGCAAAATATGTATAAGAATTAGATTTGTATAAGAGAAGGATGTGTATAAGAGAAGGATGTGTATAAGAGAAGGATGTGTATAAGAGAAGAATGTGTATAAGAGAAGGATGTGTATAAGAGAAGGATGTGTATAATAGAAGGATGTGTATAAAGGAAGGATGTGTATAAGAGAAGGATGTGTATAAGAGAAGGATGTGTATAAGAGAAGGATGTGTATAAGAGAAGGATTTGTATAAGAGAAGGATTTGTATAAGAGAAGGATGTGTATAAGAGAAGGATTTGTATAAGAGAAGGATGTGTATAAGAGAAGGATGTGTATAAGAGAAGGATTTGTATAAGAGAATTATTTGTATAAGAGAAGGATGTGTATAAGAGAAGGATGTGTATAAGAGAAGGATTTGTATAAGAGAAGGATTTGTATAAGAGAAGGATGTGTATAAGAGAAGGATTTGTATAAGAGAAAGATTTGTATAAGAGAAGGATGTGTATAAGAGAAGGATTTGTATAAGAGAAGGATGTGTATAAGAGAAGGATTTTATAAGAGAAGGATTTGTATAAGAGAAGGATTTGTATAAGAGAAGGATGTGTATAAGAGAAGGATGTGTATAAGAGAAGGATGTGTATAAGAGAAGGATGTGTATAAGAGAAGGACGTGTATAAGAGAAGGATGTGTATAAGAGAAGGATGTGTATAAGAGAAGGATGTGTATAAGAGAAGGATGTGTATAAGAGAAGGATGTGTATAAGAGAAGGATGTGTATAAGAGAAGGATGTGTATAAGAGAAGGATGTGTATAATAGAAGGATGTGTATAAGAGAAGGATGTGTATAAGAGAAGGATGTGTATAATAGAAGGATGTGTATAAGAGAAGGATGTGTATAAGAGAAGGATGTGTATAAGATAAGGATGTGTATAAGAGAAGGATGTGTATAAGAGAAGGATGTTTATAAGAGAAGGTTGTGTATAAGAGAAGGATGTGTATAATAGAAGGATGTGTATAAGAGAAGGATGTGTATAAGAGAAGGATGTGTATAAGATAAGGATGTGTATAAGAAAAGGATGTGTATAAGAGAAGGATGTGGATAAGAGAAGGATGTGTATAAGAGAAGGATGTGTATAAGAGAAGGATGTGTATAATAGAAGGATGTGTATAAGAGAAGGATGTGTATAAGAGAAGGATGTGTATAAGAGAAGGATGTGTATAAGAAAAGGATGTGTATAAGAGAAGGATGTGTATAAGAGAAGGATGTGTATAAGAGAAGGATGTGTATAAGAGAAGGATGTGTATAAGAGAAGGATGTGTATAATAGAAGGATGTGTATAAGAGAAGGATGTGTAAAGGAGAAGGATGTGTATAAGAGAAGGATGTGTAAAGGAGAAGGATGTGTATAAGAGAAGGATGTGTATAATAGAAGGATGTGTATAATAGAAGGATGTTTATAATAGAAGGATGTGTATAATAGAAGGATGTGTATAAGAGAAGGATGTGTATAAGAGAAGGATGTGTATAAGAGAAGGATGTATAAAGGAGAAGGATGTGTATAAGAGAAGGATGTGTAAAGGAGAAGGATGTGTATAATTGAAGGATGTGTATAATAGAAGGATGTGTATAATATAAGGATGTGTATAAGAACAAGATCTGTATAAGAGCAAAATATGTATAAGAATAGGATGTGTATGATAGTAGGATGTGTACAAAAGAAGGATGTGTGTTAGACAAGGATGTGTATGCGAACAAAAATCTGTATTACAAAAAGTTATGTATAAGAAAAGGATGTTAATAAGAAAGAAATGGGCATAAGAGGAGGATTTGCATAATAGAAGTATGTGTATAGGAGAAGATTGCGTAAAAGAAACGGAAGATTGTGTATAAGAAACGGGTGTGCATCAGAGCAGGATGTTTTTTTTTTAATTTGCGTGTGGGTTTATTGATCTCTCCGTAATTGTCTTAGGCGTTGCGAAGGCGATTCGTTATGCCTGGGTGCCGGGGTCGATCCCAGCTGTAGGCGAGTTGGCAGCAAACCATCTTGTGCTGGTTTCAACGATGGTATCGAGAGTCGGCCGTTGAGGGCGACAGCAAACTACTGAAGGTATCGTTGCCTAGAAAAGCTGCAGTAGCAAAAACATGCTGGTGTTGATTCTGCAATGTCATGTGAAAGGATACACAACTATCGGCTATCTTCCCAATAACGGCCCCAAATTATAGAGGCCGAAAATATACCCTAACAGGGCCTCAGTCACATGTAAATTGCGAACTTCCGCCACCGCCGAGAGTATCTCTCACGACTGGGGCTAAACTAGATGGCTGTTCGCAATTTACATGTGACTAAGGCCTGTTAGGGTATGTTGTCAGCCTCGATAATTTGGGACCGTTTTTCAGAAGATAGCCCAACTATCTCTCCCCCCCCCCCCCCCCTGCTCTCATACATTTACTGCTTTCTCACTGGTTAAAAAAACCACTTCCAGATGAGACTATATTCCGGACCGATCATCGAGTAGTGTTGTGCATAATCCGAGGATTCACACTAGGGCAGACCGCTGATGAACATGTTATATGACGAAAGACACGACGTCACTTCAACAAGCAGCATTATAAAACATACAGCATAGGTTGCAAATCTGGGTATCCAAAATATCCAAACGTATAGGGGGGGGGGGGGGGGGGGAGGGTGATAACGAGTACGTGACGCTAAATGAGTGGCAATAAACGAATACATGTATAAGAAAAAAAAACTGCGCATGCTGCCCCATGCACTACGATGTTATGGTATAAGGTTTAGAAAACGACGAGCAGACATATTCTTACCTTTGGGAGTGGTGGTCACAAACGGAAATGGATGTGTGGTGAATGTGCCCAGTTTGAGGAGATAGGAGCTGGGTTCCTGGTCTACAGCAGCATAGATACCACCTAGAGGTAGATGGTATACCCCGTCAATGTAGACCTGATCACCATGGTAGGCGAAAATATTGAACATTGTTGACGGCCGAACGGTGTCCGTGTCGTCCAGTACAACTCTAAAATTGACCTCCCTGTTTGGACTAGACAATAGTCAGAAAAAAAATTTATATATATATATATATATATATATATATATATATATATATATATATATATATATATATATATATATATATAGAGAGAGAGAGAGAGAGAGAGAGAGAGAATGTTACTTCTAACGTTACTTCAATTCAGCATATGACAATGAAAGCTAGAGAACCACTAAAGATCTAAAATGAATGTTAAAGACATTTTAAAACAATGCGTGGGGAAGATGATAAACATATAATATGATGAATTAAAGAGGGTTGAAGAAATATGAGAAATATCTGGGCACCGACTAGTATCAACAGTGATAAGACAGAGAAGACTGCGCTATAATAGACACATTCTGAGAAGAAAGAAACATACAATCAGCAAACATACACTGGCTGACTGATAGACTGACTGACTGATTGGCTGACTGACTGATTGACTGACTGACTGGTTGATTGACTGACTGGCGGTCAACCCCACCAGGACCGTAAAATGCGAAATAAACACCCGGAGACGCAAAGTGTCACGATAGATGAGAATCTTCCACGGCACAAGTCCCTGAAACCCCATTTAACCGTGACGTTATACAAGGGCTACCGACGACAGCAAGAGCGTGACTTTACACTTACACACACACACACACACACACATACACACCTACACAAATTACGTCTCATATTGGGGCAGACAGGCAATGAAATGGGAAATGGAGGGATTGGGAAATTGAGGAAGTCCAATTGAAACTCCATGAAGATGGCTGATGAGAGAAGCTTTAGGTGCTGGGTTGTTTTCCATTCATGAAAGCAATTGCACAAGTCAGAACGGAATGGATAAACAGACGGCAAGCTCTATGCGACATGTAATGGCGCAATTAGCAATAAAGTAACGAACCAATCAATCAATCAATCATCAGCACGCATTCTGTTTCGATGCATCTAAAACTTGCTTTTTCAGGCAACACTGTTTACTCGTTGCCATTTGTTTTCTAAACATTGCACAACAGGATTCATTCCCATAAAGAAGGTTATCATATTAAATAGAAAGGTGCCGGTACTCATCACAAAGTGTCTTTATAAAAAGGCGCCACACTCTTAAGAAGTGACTATTAAAGTTATGAAAAAAGTAATGTCCAAAATAAAAAAAAAATAAAAAAAAATGCCGATATGACGAACTGTCGCGTACAGTAAAAAAAAAAAAAAAAGCCCTGGTATTTGTATTGGCTCTCCAACGCTTTGTGACCAATGTCCACTCTCAACAGACTCTCAGACTGATGTCTGTCCTCTCTTACACTGCATTTTGTCTGTCTAAGTCGGTGATTATCTATCTCTGTCTGTTATCCTCCCATACGTATTGCTGTCTGAAAAAATGATTTTCTGTCATCAACTTTCTCTTGCAGTGTGATTTGATGAGTGTATGTATATATGTATATCATGATAGAGATATGCCCTTTGAACTTTGTAACAGATATATTTTGTTTTTCATTCATGAACTATGCTTTTGTTCCCAATCGCCTGAAATCTAAGTTGACAACTCGAAATACAACACATAGGTTGTATATCCCCATTTCTAGGCCTTTAATTCGACTTTTTATTTTTGCTTGTTTCTTTTCCGATAGCTTAGATTTCAACCGCGATGGTGATCAAAGTAAGGAACTGGTCTGATGTAACAGGGCTACCGTGTCTCTGAAAGCGGCACCAGCTGTTTTCTGTTGATGCTGAAAGTCGGGCTGCATGTACCAAACCAACATCCTGCTTGGACCGATGGCTGGAGGAGCATTGGGGATGATACTAAGCTTATCCTAATACGATGAAATGCAACTGAAAACATAATGTTGGGGCAGGGAATACGAGGCTTCAAGCGTTGGTTTGGAGCTGGTCCCAGTGGGAAACTCTGACAGGTGAATAGACAGAGGACTACCCTTCTGAAGGTTGTCGGTATTACCTTTCCTTTGGAGTTTACATTGCACGAGAGAGGAGCTAAAAAAATTGTTGGTGCTAACAGGCGAATGCAAGAGAAACAAGCTGTAGACAACGATACAAGTGGGAACGTGACATCAAGAGAGAAGCAGAGAAGTATAGAAGAGCGGGTAAAAACCAGCACGAGTAACAGAGAGAGAGAGAGAGAGAGAGAGAGAGAGAGAGAGAGAGAGAGAGAGAGAGAGAGAGAGAGCTAAAGAACTACTGCAGCCAATCTTCACCGTGAAGGCCTCACTTGACTGATTTACTGAGCGTTAAAGAAAATTTATCACGTCCACAATCACATAGGGTTTTAAAGCTATATTTTAAAGGTTATGGGCATTCAAGTGTGATGATTTCAATTTCTGAAGGATGGAACCGTGGCCTCAGTGGGCTTCAGCGTTGTTTAAGTACGCCTTGATGATGATAATGATAATAATATTAATACTAATAAAACGCCCACATAGCGTTGCTTCCCATTCAATATCATGTTACTGATTTGAGGCTGGGCAAATCTGGTGGTTACCTACTAAAGATATAACAGCCCAGTCTAATGGCGCCTTACCCAAAGCTGTCAACAACACATCCATGGTACCGTTTGCGTACAGCACGCAGTCCTGTTGTCTCAAAGATTTTATCCACCTGTTAAAATGCCAAAAATGTTGTTCGTTACATGAGGGCTTTCAGGTTTATGTCTGTCTGGCAGTCACAAGATCAGTCTGTCTGCGAACATATCTGACTGCTCTCCTGTCTAAATGGCGCCCCAACACATTTGCATTCTTTTTATATCGGTCTGCTCACAAGCCAGACTGTATGTCTATACGGTCCGTTGAATGTCTGTCTGTCTGTCTGTCTGTCTGTCTGTCTGTCTGTCTGTCTGTCTGTCTGTCTGTCTGTCTGTCTGTCTGTCTGTCTGTCTGTCTGTCTGTCGGTCTGTCTGTCTGTCTGTCTATTTGTCTGTCTGTCTGTTTGTCTGTCAGTAGGTAGGTAGGTCGGTAGGTCGGTCGGTCGGTCGGTCGATCGGTCAGTTGGTCGGTCGGTCGGTAGGTGTAGGTAGGTGTAGGTAGGTAGGTGTGTGTATGTGTGTATGTGTATGTGTATGTGTATGTGTGTGTGTATGTGTGTGTGTATGTGTGTGTATGTGTGTGTATGTGTGTGTGTATGTGTGTGTGTATGTGTGTGTATGTGTGTGTGTATGTGTGTGTATGTGTGTGTGTATGTGTGTGTATGTGTGTGTGTATATGTGTGTGTGTATGTGTGTGTGTATGTTTGTGTGTATGTATGTGTGTGAGTGTATGTGTGTGTATGTGTGTGTGTATGTGTGTGTGTGTGTGTGCGTGTGTGTGTGGGGGGTGGGTGCGTGCGTGCGTGCGTGCGTACGCGCGTGCGCGCGTGCGTCTGTCTATCTTGTCTGTCCTGTCTGTCCTGTCTGTCCTGTCGTCTGTCCTGTCGTCTGTCCTGTGTGGGTGCGTGGTTGCGCTGGTGCGTGGGTGCGTGCGTGCGCGCGCGCGTGCGCGCGTGCGCGCGTGCGTCTGTCTGTCTTGTCTGTCTTGTCTGTCCTGTTGTCTGTCCTGTCGTCTGTCCTGTCGTCTGTCCTGTCGTCTGTCCTCTTGTCTGTCCTGTGTCTATCCTGTCGTCTGTCCTGTCGTCTGTCCTGTCCTGCGTGTGTGTGTATGTGTGTGTATGTGTGCGTATGTGTGTATGTGTGTGTATGTGTGTGTATGTGTGTGTATGTGTGTGTATGTGTGTGTGTGTGTATGTGTGTATGTGTGTATGTGTGTGTATGTGTGTGTATGTGTGTGTATGTGTGTGTATATGTGTGTGTATGTGTGTATGTGTGTGTGTATGTGTGTGTATGTGTGTGTATGTGTGTGTATGTGTGTGTATGTGTGTGTATGTGTGTGTATGTGTGTGTGTGTATGTGTGTGTATGTGTGTGTATGTGTGTGTATGTGTGTGTATGTGTGTATGTGTGTATGTGTGTGTATGTGTGTGTATGTGTGTGTTTGTGTATGTGTGTATGTGTGTGTATGTGTGTGTATGTGTGTGTATGTGTGTGTATGTGTGTGTATGTGTGTGTATGTGTGTGTATGTGTGTATGTGTGTGTATGTGTGTGTGTGTGTGTCTGTGTGGGTTAGTGAGTGAGTGAGTGAGTGCGCGAGCGAGCGAGAGCGCGTGCGTGCGTGTGTGTGTGTGTGTGTGTGTGTGTGTGTGTGTGTGTGTGTGTGTGTGTGTGTGTGTGTGTGTATGTATGTATGTATGTATGTATGTATGTATGTATGTATGTATGTATGTATGTATGTATGTATGTATGTATGTATGTATGTATGTATGTATGTATGTATGTATGTATGTATGTATGTATGTATGTGTGTACGTACGTACGTACGTACGTACGTACGTACGTACGTATGTATGTGTGTGTACGTACGTACGTACGTACGTATGTATGTGTGTACGTACGTACGTACGTACGTATGTATGTATGTTTTTACTGTTAATTTGTTTGGAGATCTGTACAATCACCTACATCCTTACAAAACTTGAATGCTGTTTCCTTGAAGGTTGGTGAGTTCTTGTCTAGAAGCTGCTGTGTAAAGTTCCCAGTGTGCAGGTAGAAAGTATAGTTGTAACCTACAGCATCTGTTGTTGAACGTTGAAAAGATTAAGGTTTTCTTTAATGAAGGTCTGTCAAGACAATCAGTATCAAAATGATAACGTTTAATTCTTAATTTTTCCCAAAGCCTTATATGTCTGTCGGCATCTGTGGCTCAGGCTTTGCGAACGCGCTTCGTAATGCCGGGGTGTCTCGTTCGATCCCAGCTGCAGACAATTTAACTTGCGCTGGTTTAGACAGCGGTACAGATACCTGACCGTTCGGTAGCAATGGCAAACTACTAAATGTAAAATTTGCGTAAAACAAAAACCACAATAGTCAAAAAATGCTGGCGTTGGTTCTGCAACGTCCTGTAAAGGACACTCAACTAACTATCTATAAGCTTAAGTTCTTGGAGAACGTAATTACACTTGATGGCAGAATAGACAGGAAGATTGAAACAGGAATCTTAAAAAAAAAAAAAAAAAGAACAATGTAACTCATAAACTGACCATATTTTAAAACACCCGGCAATCCTAGAGTAGAGATAAAAAAAGGGAAGTTATAAATGTATTCTTCATACCAAACGCATAAAAATGGTCCTATTTTCTCAATGTTCTATCTGATAAAAAGCCCACAACCAATCACACCACACAGTTCCTCTATAGAAATAAGATTCAAGCATTATATATCAGATGTGCTACTATTAGCCTGAAACTCTTCACTTTCTTTAGATACCTGCACTTTATTTAAAAACTGGCAAATTTAATTACTCACAAAACAGTTATGTTGTATAAGGCACAAGGCCCTTTCATAATCTAGACCACAAATCTAATACGAACTATTGGTTAGGTCAACTTTTGTTTTTCCAGCTTTCAGTGATAGTTCATATAAACGGATATGATATGTCTTTAAAATAGCTGCATGAGTAACAAAAAGGGGGGAAAAAAATAGGAAACTAGAAAAAGCCTGGGTCTAAAACCGGTAATGTATTTGACCAGAGCAACGTCTGGGATTGCCTGGCCTTTGACAAGAGTGCACAGATAGTACCAACTGAAACAGAGAGCCAGGCTTGAGGGGGAAAAACATGGGCACAGAGCAATGGCAAGACCACACAGAATATGGATCAAAAGCATCAAAAACAGTTTTAGGAATAAAAATACTAACTCATACAATACATTAACAAGAGCGTCAGCAGATTTCTACATCTCCCCCTAAGACTTGACTGACATGTTCAACTCAACGAGAAAATCACACCGAGTGATAAACAGTCGGTGACACGAAGTGCCACAATTCGGATGACGATCACCCGGGGACAGGTCTTAGACACCCTGTTCAACCCATAGGACGGGCTCTCATGCGGAAGACCCGGGTTCGACCCTCTGTAAGATGATGGAGTTTTTCGGTCGGGGGTTCAAAATTAAACATCCCAACCTGCACAGTTCGTGACGACAGCACCAGCCATGCGGCCCTAAATCCCCAGGCTCACAACTCTGTCTACACCGCCCTAAAAAGTGATAAATTTCAGACAGTAGTGACAGTGACAAAATTGAAAAAAGATTACCGTAAATGCTGGGGGTTAGCGTCACGGTAGGAACCCCCACACTGATGCTGTCCATGGCGATGAGCAAGTTTCCAACCAGCAGCGAGAAAATGCCATGGTGCTCCTTTCTGATGGCGTTCTCGGTCAGCATGCCTACAACCAGGTTCTGCACACTAGTTCTGTTGGTGCCACGCAGATCGCGAAATTGAAGGCTGAAGTTGACTCTTAGCGGGTCTCCGCTGATATTTTTCAGACAGAGAATGGATTTCTGAGTTGATATTTTACATACTAAAGGTAAAAGAAATATCAGAGACATATAAGAAATATCAGAGAAACTAAAAATAATTTTATACGAAGCGAACAGAAGGGCCCTTTCCAAAGATGCCTTCCTGTCCTGATGCCGCGAGGCATTCCAGTAATAGAGAAAAGAGAGACACAAAAGAAGGTAAGGTAATGCAAAGTAATTGCAGTATCATGTTCATAGAAAACGTGTCGTCCCCATAGCTGCTCCGTTTCTATGTTTGCAAAAACTACACAGAATATCCATTAGTGTCCCTTGTTAAATAAAATGACATACGCTGCAGTCTCAGCAAAGCTATTAGCATACTCACTCATTAAATCCATAAGTCAGCCGTCAGAAGTGCCAACACAAACATTGTGACACTAGAAAGATAGTTATTCGTCTATGGAAGCAGCAGTTATAACAGATCTTTAGTTTCACACGCAATTAATCGCACAGGGCACCACCTCTACCTGAAAACAAGCTTCTCGTCATGTTCTGAATCTGAAGTTCCACCCCAAAGCACGTCAAGTACATTCGAAAAAGTATTCAAAATATAATTTATGGCTCACAGTGTCCTGCCACGTTTGAATACTGAAGATTGTAAACATATTAGCTTTGTCTGTCCACTTCTAGGTACAATGGACCTACAGTGATAAACGAACCGTTCTACATCATTGGTGCATCAGACGTGTCATACTAGACTTATTCGTCTATGATTAATTGGCACTGGATGGGTGTGATTTTAACTCACCTGCCACATTTTGATTTCACCTGCCATCGCCCATGGGAGTGTCCCGATGCTGAGATGTTGATTCCAAATTTTAAATTCAACAAATATTCAGCTGTGGCTAAGGTTTTACCTATCTTTCCCCAAGTCCTCACAGCTTTCACTATATTACACGAAGTTATTAATTTTTTTGCGTCTCTGTTGATTCTTCCTGTGTATGCTGCTTGATATCTCTCTGTCTCTTTGTAACTTTGAATAGGTCTTCCGGTTAAAATGGACGCTAGACAGCGGCGCTGTTCCGAGCAGAGGCAATTTTTTTGCTTCTGCCGGACGGTGGCCGAAGTATTTTTGCTCCATTTGTAGACTGGATATAGTTTCGTCGCCCAGCTTCTGAGTTGAATGCATGGCGTGACCCTGTGAGCTGCGGATTGCATTTGGAATGTCTTTTTTCGACTGTGACCAACGTGGTGTGAATTTTAGATTCAGAAAATGGCGCGATGCCTGTCGTGCAATGCTGGCGGGGCCCGTATTAAAATTGATCGCGCGGGCAACTGCTGATCTGTTGGCGACAAGTTCTGCTATCATCAATGATGAACTGCATTTCTAATGTTAGACTGTTTGTGTCAGCACTTCGGATGGCTACCATATGCTTTAATGCGAGTGTATGCTAGATATGCTGAGACAGCAGTCTGTCAATTTTTCCACAAGGGACTGTGATAGACATTCTGAGTGTTTTTCGCTGGCACAGGAGCGGAGCAAAGATGGGGCGACCCGTTTGCTATGAAGCTGAAATTAAGACTACCAGACTACTACTAACTTTGAATATTGAATTAGGAATCGAAATCACGGAGCGCTTATCGGGGTCTGCTTTAGCAGCAAGCGACGATTTCAAATTCCCATGGCACCAGTAACTGTCTGATTGCATATCCGTCTCGCCTAACCCCTGAGTATTGAGCGCCGGCCAGATTCCTCACAGCGCCATTCTCCACAGACCGTAATGATCAATCTGTGCTTCTGCACTGTTCAATCGCTCTCAAAGACCCCTAACAGCCTCCAGCTTATCTTTGTAAACGACACTTTTCCGCGCCCACATGCCAATTGGGCATAGAGTGCGAGACCTATATTTTACAGACCACCCGGCACTTGTTGGGTGATGTGGTCAGCATCACGCCGGCCGCCTTTACTTCCATGACTTGCACCTGGTACCACCCAAGGCTAGGTCGACCTGAGAGCCAACATCATTTTTTTAAAGAAATAAAAATATAGCTCTATTAGAATCGGAACCCACGACCTTCCGATACGCAGACCAGCGTCTAGCCACAACACTACGGCGACTACTCCTATCGCTTTGTCATGTATATAAAGATAATTTTGTTACATTTTCTTGTGTAACTTCCATCCCTTCTACATCCTCAGATTTTTATCCTCCGTCTTCTAGTCCCATTACAACCACGGTATATGGGACCTTTAAGTTTATAATCGTGATATACGACTAATGCTTGGTTAATACACATTTCTGTAACCTATGATGCTATTTTAATGGTTTGATGTGAATTTTGTGGGTACTACGTAGCTTTGTGTTCAAGGTCTATGACAGACATGGCTAATCAAGACACCATTTATAGGGCTGCCTCACTGGTCATGTGTTTACACTTGTCCTCTTGTCGACTAGTACTATTTTAACAACAATAACCACTACAATTACTTTTTACTACTACTAATGCTACTATTACAAGTACAAATTCGCCTTCTTCTTCTTCTTCTTCTTCTTCTTCTTCTTCTTCTTCTTCTTCTTTTCTTTTTCTTTTTTCTTCTCCTTCTTCTTCTTCTTCTTCTTCTTCTTCTTCTTCTTCTTCTTCTTCTTCTTCTTCTTCTTCTTCTTCTTCTTATTATTATTATTATTATTATTATTATTATTATTATTATTATTATTATTATTCTCCTTATCATTCTCCTACTACTACAAACACTATTACTATTTTTACTTCTACTACTACTATTACTACTTCTACTGCTACTACTATAATAACCACAGCCACTTCCATTACCAGTATTATTAGTACTACCATCGCCACAAACACCACCACCACAACTACTACCAAAACCATCACTACCATCAACAATACTACTGCTACTACATGCGCTGCTAGTATAATTACTACTACTACCACCATCACCACCACCACAACAACAACTACTATTACTACTGCTACTTGTACTACAGCTATTTGTACCATTAACTTAACTACTGTTGCTGCTGCTGCTACTAATACTACTACTACTACTACTACTACTACTACTATCCCATGTATGCCGGAAACATCTGCCTGTGGTCGTTGAGGATCTTGCTTACCTAGAGGAATGTCAAACAGAAAGGAACACACTGTCACGGGATCACCGTGTCTTTGCAAATACACAGAGCAAATAACGTAAATATTTAATACACCTACCATGCACCGAGTAAATAACATACATATGTAACAAACCCAACATG